TCAACGGGCTTTGAACTTTCTTTAACACCACTGCATTATTTGATAGCAAGCACTTGGGTTTCTAGGCAGAAGAAGAGACTAAGCATCGGTGAGAAAATTTTCCACCGAAAATCCTCAGAAGATGATTTTTCTCTACCTGCTTCAAAACGTATACGACTTCAGGGAACAATCGTCCAGATAAACGGGTTTCGCCTATCAAACTAGCTGCCCGATGACAAGGATTCCTTCAGATAACAGTTTCCGTCATATCGTAAATGAGAGATTTGCTTCCTATTTGGCTACGGTGGCTCTCAAAGTAACTGCTAATAAATAGATAATAGTGATGAGGACATTTTAGTGAACGGTTTTTATTATCCTTCAACTGTTAGGGTATCCACTTTTCTAAGAGCAACTTGGCTTTAAATAGATCTACGAGTATAAAACTCGGAAATTGTCAAAGCAAAACGAACGGACGAGATCTGGTGACACAAAGTCGAAGGGAAAACTACAAAAAATATGATATTGTCGTAGATATGGACGCTCCAAAGTTGTCTGCAAAGCCGTTCGAAGTCTGCTGTCCAGTAAAAAACAACTAGAATACAAAAGCATGTTCATCTGTCACCGGTATCTTGAAGTATGAACGGCATACAAAGATTACTTTGCACATGTTAAACGGATTTCTATCAACCTGCTCCAAGTCAATCGCTACTTAGAAACCAGGTGTTCCAGTTCTTTTATCTTTGATAATATACCCGTTCACGGGAGGGCTTTGGATGCGCAGTTAAACGCCAAAAACCAAATTTAATTTCTTCTATCATGCAGTCCGTTTCCTGAAAGAGGCCTTCAGCAAATTCAATTATTTAATTAGTTCGCTTATTATTTAGCTTGTTAAAAACTGATTCACTGAAAACATTGAAGTCATACGAGATGTGCTACGCGGTTTGACGATACGGTTGTATCAATTAAAACGTTTCCAATCAATATATGATGCGGCATTTGAGACCGTTACAACGGTCAACCATGCAGTCAGTATTCAGTCGTTACACCTTATTTCTTAATCAAGCATTGCAACATCACTTATAGAAGATAAAATGTTTCAACATTCATTTACTTGAAATTTTTCTGATACTTTTTTTATTGTACTCGCCTACAGTGGCATGATCAGGATTTGTATCTTAAGGCTAAAGGACTTGGGGTCGTGGCTAAACATGGCGGGNGGCGGGTTTTGGTTAAAGTTTGATTGGGTGTGCTTTTTCTCGAATTTTAGTCAGTGCCACTGTCAGGTGGAAATCTGCCAATGTCTGATGAACTGTTTAGGTTATTAAATTAAACGTTGTACAAAACTCCCCGAGAAGAGAAGTACTGTACGATTTTCATGAAATATGTTATATGGACGACGGTGTTCGAGTGGTTAGTTTAATCTAAATAACGACTTGGAGGTCCTCAGTCCGATTCCCTCCATAGCTATCTCTCTTTCCTATTTCCATATGGCCTCGGTCTCCTTCTTGGTTGTACATTTCTATGCTTATTAAATAAAAAGATGTAAAGACTTTTATATAGACGTTAGTTATTATTCTTTACGACTGATTGCATCTCCTTATTTGCAATTTGATGCACTACTCGTGTGTATAAAACTAGTATACTTGATCTAAATGAACACTTTCGCTATTCGCGCCTGTATTCAGCAAGCTGTCCGAAGCAAGTTGAGCAAAAAATAGCACGAGCATCACCGCACCAGTATATTTCAGATAACTTACACTGTAATAGTACAGAATAAAATTCCAGGCTAACCGTTTCCGGTTGCGGGAGACGACTACCCCGCTCCAAATATCCCAGTAAATCACGTGCTCGAATGTCCCCGTACGGTTTTCGGCCGAAAGTGCACATTTCCCACAGCGTGACACCTGTGATCAGGACAAGGTGATATGTGATTAAAACAGAATAGATGATGATGATGATGACGATGATGACGATGATGACGATGATGATGACGATGATGATGATGATGATGGTAATGATGATAGTTGTAACCGGTATGATGATGATCATGGTGATGGTGTGTATCAGAAGTGATGATGAATGATGATACTGTGTCAGCTCATGATGCCGTAGCTACAGGTAAAGGGAACAGCGTATCGAAAGTGAAATACGTATTTTGGTACTTCACTGACTAAGTGAAAAACTGTACAAAAGATGCGACATATGTAAGATATGTTTATTCGTTGTGACACCTCGGCACCTTTCTTCTATGTTGATCAATT